GGCGACTTTTAAGAGTATTCTTAATAGTTTAAATATTATAAAAGTTGGAAATGTTTGTTAAACTTTGTTCAGAGATGAGATCGTGGATATTAAATACGTGTGATTAAATATCATAGATAAATATTTTTGCCAGGCAAGCTTTTATAAATTCAGAAAAATATTTTGATTTGCGTGAAGATTTATGCACACTCGACCCAAGCGATTACCGCGTCTCTCGATGCCCGTTTCTGGCATACTTCTGTAAAATTGTTTCAGCAATTGGCAATTAGCAGAGATAACTACAACTTAGATAGAGACATCGTTATTGCGAGATGCGAATTACCTGACTACGCGTAAGAAACTTCACAGTAAACTATATAGTAGGTACGTCTACTATTTGTGCCGTACTCTCTAATGCCGTTTAACACTGCGAAAGTTCATAAAATATGTACGATACGAGATAGGGGCGAGGTAGCGCTTATTATATTCCTAATTACATCGGCGAGGTGCATGTGATAACCGCCGTGCATTAGCCTTGATGATTAAAAAGAAGGAAAGGAATTTATTTTGTATTTGCATTTGATTATATATTCGCTTGCGTGTTCGTGATGGAATACATTCTGGCTGAAGGCGTTGCAACGTTTCCGGAAATGTTTACGATTCAAGTGCAATAAGCGCAAATACTAACCCTAAGTAATTGCGCCCGAGAGAGCACTTCTAGTGCATGGAGGAAGAGAACTAAAAAGCCGGTGCGGCCTTGTGGTACAGGGGTGTAGCCACCACGCAGTGAGAATACGCGGACACAGATGCATATAAGAACGGGCAACCCACAAACCTATTTCTTCTTTCTTGTCGCCGTAGGAGAAAATCAGGAGTGCGCCGTCATTTTTAATTCAAATTCGACATTATCGATGCGTAATTTTTGTACATGAAATATGTCGTGGATATAAAAATATCTGTAGCGTAAAACTTTGACTCACCACCGTTGCTGCTTTGCAGTGCTGAAGGCACCTTGAAGTCAGAAAAATTAGAACCTGACACCAGGTTTTCTACTACAGCAGAATCGATCTCGAGTCTTCCAGTTTAGGTTCTTTCGAAGAATTTCTATAAAATTAACGTTATAAAATCATGAAAATAAAAGAATAATTGTAGATATAGGTATATTAATGTTCGTTGCAAAAACGAAATGCAAGCTCTACAAGTGGCAGATTTGCAAGTTCTTCCTACGCCACTGGGCGCAACGGTGCAGCAAAGCTACGTCGAGCCGCGGGCCGGTTTGAAAGCCAACATTTAATTTACGTTCTACGTGCAGGAATGATGCTCTCATCATTTTTCGACGCCAACGATCCGTTAAAATGGTTGCGAAACGGCGCGAAGAAGAATGATTGAAGACTGAGACCTCGCGGCGAACGTGGTGTCGACAAGGAATCCGGAAGTACAAAAGAATATTGAGTTCTTGCGGAAATTTAGAGCACCTCCACGCGGAGACACGGGTTAAATTAGTGAAGGCCGAGAAATTATATTTTGAAATATCTAATGTAACAACGTATCGGTCTACGAAAGTAAGGTTTGCGAGTAATTTGTTTTCATCCGCAACCTTACGTTAATCTCGCGTTAATGCCAATGCATCAATTTTTCATTAATACATTACATAATGGGACAAAAATGCACAGCGATTCTCACGTGATCAACATTGTGCGAGCGGCAAAGGTTAATTCAGGTTGGTTCCCCGATCTGCTCGGCGACCAGCCAATAACGGTTAATTATCGCCTTAAAAAAATCGGAAGCGACCGCGGCGCGTAATTACAGTTATCTCGATGCGGCACGATCTTCAAGCTTACAACAATGAAATGCTCGTAATTCATTGTCGTCCGTCTTTCATTATCCGCGCGAGTAACGATGGAAAGAGGAATGAAGTAAATCAAGCGCGCGATATTTACGAGCGCGTAAAGCTGCGAACGATTCGGAAGTCCGATTTCACAATTCGTCCGTCGATCCAACTGCGTGTCTATCGGCGAATCCGTCGGAATAGTTTTTCATTTCTCGATTTTTACTTCTTATTAAAAATTCCATATACAAGATTTTTTTAAATAAAACCGAGTTAAAAAGTGAAAATCATTTAGACACTAACATCCTGCCTTGGCTCTTACATCCTTTATTCCTTCGAATTGTGACTTCCCGTCGGAGCCTGAACTTTATTGCTTGATATATTATAAGTAGTCCTCGAGTTGCGGAAAATATAGGAGAATGAATTAAGTTTGGAGTGTAAGTGAGACGATAAAGAGCCGTCCACGTTTAATTAATTATGCAAACTAGTTGCTCTTTCGCGTTCGAAATAAAAGAGAAACGAAGAAAGAGAATTTAATCTCATGTGTTTCATAGCGTTGCAGACATCGCGCGGAAAATATCTCAACACATCTCCTGTTAGGTTTCCCTGTTGCATATCACTGCCGTTATATCAGATAAGCGAGGAGAAATACACGTGCATATATATATATATATTTCTACCAAATGAGGGCACTCCACCAAATGGGAGCGCTAATAAAATTTGGCCCACATACGCAACCAGCGTGCATCAACCTCTCCATAACTCGTCGTGTTCTTGATACATGTTATTACCTGCGCGCTGTTAAGTCATAAAGTAATTCTCATCAATACGGAAATCCTCTCGCGAATAATCCCACACGGTTCCTTTGGCGCTACGCTAGAACGTATTACCTGATAGGTATCAGTTAATTAATATTTTTTTGTTACTTTTCCTAACGTTCTATTACGCATTCTTGTATACGCATTTTCCCGAATGTATATACACCTAGCAGAGTTCTGAATCGTTATTTTCTCCCATCACTCCGGTAATGAACGAACGGTTGCTTTCGTTTGCAGGAAGTGCTGCTGGCGCACAGCAAAGTCACCGCTCACTGCGAGCCGATCACAGTGATTCTGGCCGAGGTGGAGGCACCGGAACTCGCGGCTCTCCTCGGATTCATTTACACCGGAAGCGCCACGGTTCCGCGAATGCGACTGGACGCGTTTTTGCGCGCCGCCGAAGCCCTGCGCATCCGGCTGCCACCAGTGCCGGTGATGACTACCTGCGAGCAGGCGGCGGACTGCAAGCTGGAGGACGTTAAGGATGTTAAAGTTAGCCCCAAGTACCTGCAGTGCGATCAGTATCCTTGGTATCGGTCGAGGAGACTGTCCTACGAAGACCAGTTCAACAGGAAGGAGTCCTACATCAGAATATTCCACACGGACGACGTCAACAGGCATGTGTTCAGGGACATCGGAGCGCTTCACGAAGTCAATAGTCCTGGCCCGTCCTTCGGTTCCGATTGTCCGAGCGCGTGGCCGGTCGGCGGCTTCCCGCATCAGGATAGAGCAACAGGTGATACTCCCGCGGACAGGAATCACGGTGGCTCGATGATACTTGCTGACAAGAACCCGGTGATAGCTCCTAGCAACGAATCGTCATTCGGTATGTATCAGCGGGCCACGTGCCTCGCCGGAGGACCGTCCTCGGAAGGATACGCTGGTCCGGATACTCTCGAGAAGATTAGGATGGGATACGAGAGGTTGCACATGAGCTGCTCCGCGGAGAAGCCGATGATTAACGAGGAAGTTCTCGCGGGTGGTTCGGGAGGGGAGTCTTGCGGAACGTCGCGGGACGAGTGTCCCTACCAGAGCACGATGCCGTTGTCGTCCTTGCAGTGCGCCACCGCCACCGCCGGCCAGACGAGGTCATTCGAGATGCTCGATTACGCCTCGCAGACCTCGGCGGGCGAGGATCTCAGCTGCGGCGAAAGTTGTTGTAGGTGGAGAACCGCTCGCAGGCACGTGGCGAACCGCGTCACCGCGTCGCCATGGCGCCAGATTGCCAGGCCCCATCACTCACCGAGGAACCCGCGGCCCATCCCCGCGCCTCAACGTCACATCGATGACGTGAGTACTCGCCAGGCAAATATTAGCCCACGTGTTCGCCTCGAAATTGTCGATCGATACGAAATCAGATTCGACTGATTCAGGTTGATTTTAATTTCAAATTTTGTGTACCTGAATACGTGAATAATACTTTTATTTGAGGACAGGAGACGCGTGAAGCGCGTGTTAAATTGCGTATTCGTTTACCTAGCTGTCGAATTGATTTTGGGAGAATAGGCGATAGAGGATTTACGTTTTGCCGCGGGTTAGATAGAAACACATTTCTCAAAGACTCCTCTGAAACTTTCTCACATACCTTTTACAACGCTCCGTATTTGCGTTGTTAAGCACCTATTCCGAACAATTTCATTAGGAATAATTAAAAATAAGATTTCAAATTCCAATCGACCTCAGGCAAAGCACATTTATTGAATTTAGCTTTCACATAACGTTTCGACCTTTGGTTTAGGTCCTTATCACACTGACAGAAAAAAAATGGTTGCAGTTACCACAATCTCACTATAATTTCTCATTTTAGGAGCCAACCACATTTTTATAATTCTTCCAACCGCGTAAGTTATGGTTGACCTAACAATGTATTATAGTTCTGATAGACACAATATTGGTCCGTGCAACTTACGATACGGTTGTCATAAATCAAAACGAGCTTTTAATTTGGTAAAGTGTACTACAATATAAACTTATCCGTATTTACAACACCCTATGCGGTTTTCTTCTTACGAGAAAGTCTTATACCGCGCGTTCCTTCAATGAGGTAATTTCGAACCACTTCACTTTTGTTTACCATGTGATTAGTAAGGTGGATGATAGAAATGTAGTTACATTTACTATTGTTTTGATTGTATTTACTGTATAAAAAATAATTAACTAACTTACTATTCATTACCTCAATATTTTAACAGAATAATAGTTAAATGCTTACGTTTTATAGTAATTTTTTTAAATAGTTGGCATCGCTGTGTCTATATGGTTGCTATTACTAATATTATAGTTCAATTACTATAAAAATGATATTCCTGACTATAATTATTTTACTATGCAATTATAGTTTCAAATGCTACATATTTTTTTATCAGTGTAGTTGTTCCTAACACAGTACTCTATTCCGCTAAGATGCGGTTTTACTTGCACGAGGGATATCCGGAAAGTAAGGTTACAACATTTTTTTTTAATAAAAAATGCATATATTTCAATGAAACTTACAGGTGTTGTTAATATAGTTGTACGCTATTTTTTTAACACAGTCGCCTCCAATACATGTCCAATACTTCAATACATTTTATCAGCCGTGAGACAAATTTTTTTATGCTAGTATCATAAAACGCTCGCGTCACTTCATATCACTAACGATTTGATGGACAACAGTGCGTGAAATTTCAAGACACATTTCATGGCGATCGTTAATTGTCGAACGGCGATCGGAAAGAAGGTGTTGTTCAATTTTGTGGACAATTTCAAGGAATTTCAACGATGGAAGGACGGACGTTCACGACGAAGAAAGAAGTGGACGGCCGTCTGTTGTGTCTGATGAAATTGTGCACAAAATTGAAGAACACCTTCTTTCCGATCGCCGGCTGACAAAATGTATCGAAGTTGAAGGTGACTATGTCAAAAAATAGTGCACAACTACATTAACAACACCTGTAAGTATCATTAAAATATGTGGCCGAGGTGATATTTTTTCGCAATAAATTTAGAATAGAATATTTAGACACTACCATCCTGTCACGGCTCTGAGTCCTTTAAATTCTTTGAAATTTGTGTTTAACACATACGAGCCTTACTAATTTATTTAATTAAAATATGTGCCTTTTTGAATTTTTAAAACATGTTGTGACCTTACTTTCCGAATATCCCTCGTATTTGAAGTGTTACTCCGTAGCAAGATCCCACTTGGTAAGGACCTGAACCGAAGGTCGGAACGTCGTGAAAGCTAATTTAATAAATGTGGCCAGCTGAGGTCGATCGAAATTTGATTATTAATACTGGCAATCTGAAGAAACGTACTTAATAATTAAAAAATTATACACGATACAGGGATTCGGCGCTCTTAAAGTGCACCGTCGACAGTCCTTTTAGAATTGATCCGTTATTTCTAGAAGGCATTATGATGCTACGACAGCTACGGGATTTTATTCCAGTCGACACTTCCAATCACGAAACTTGCAGCGACCACTGAAAACGGGGGAAGAACGTGGGCCGTGCATACTCGATTACGATGCCAGATGCGATTTCGTCGTATCTGTCGAAATCCCGTTGCTAAGGAATCCGTATTCCCACGTATGCACGAAAAGAATCGCCCATTATGGGAACTATGCCAAGGTGAATAACACTGAACGGCACGATCGAACGAACGCGTTTTCGTCCGATCGGCGATAAAAACTGGTACGTGTCGAGCGACGAAAAAAAAAAAGAGCAGACCCGGCCACGGTTTCGTGAATAATTTAAGGAGACCCAATTAAGTATTTGCGAACATATTTTACATACGATGATATATATTTATGCTGCCATAAATTGTAACGATCAACGAGCACATGAGTAGCATTTGTGTGCGATTTAATACAAACGCATCTCAAACGAGATCCATAAAATGCGACACTCGATATGTGTATGTTGAAAATATTATATAACTTATTTTTCCTAAATCATATTAAGAATCGTGTACAGCATCCGCATGTTTTTCGATTAAATCGCCTTTAATTTTCAAACTAAAGACTTATCGAAAGTCATCAATCACGATTGATTGGCTTATACTGAACGAGCCAATTTCCGCAAAATGGTGAGACGAAGATAAACCGTTACATCCTTAATTATTGCGGCAGAAATGAAGCACTTTAAACCAACACGGACATGCGGATGCGCTCGATATGTCACCGTCATAGCGCGTGAGAGTAACGAGAGAAAATGGTTTCAATATCCCGGCCTGTCTCTATAAATCGCAGTAACGGCGGAGTTAATTAAATAGAAACCGCGGTCCCTCGTGTCACGAATCCAACGTTGCATTGATAGTTTTTGCCATTCCAATTAATTAACGTAGAAATGCAGAACAGTCGTGTGGCCCTGGTTCTAATTTCATATTTGTTTATTAATTCCATTTCCAGCTTAGAAAATGCAATGATTCAAGTTTATCATCATGTTTAATGTATCCTCGAACGGACATGATTTCGTCTTTCGTGTATTTGTTATCGGAAATAAGCTCTTAGTGTTTTACTACGTGACGTTTACGCATTAATTAAATAAAGAGAAGAACAGGAAACGTTTAGGAAAACTTCAGCGATTGTAGAAAATATACATGCAAATATGCATATCGGCGTCTCAGAGGTAAACAATGTTAACGATGTCACATTTTTTGCAGAAACGAGTTTTTGCAGAAACGAGTTTTTTCAACCAGCTTGACAGTCAAAATAAAAATATATAAAAATCTTGTTTTTGCAGAAAAAAAGTGACTTAATATTGTTTACCTTTCAAGCATTAATATGTAACTATAGAGGAAAGTTCTCTATTATGAGATAGCAGGTTTTCAACACCCAAATTCAAATCTTTTTTTCATAACAATCTAACAATGAATTTTCCACTAAACAGATTTCGCTACAAGGGCAATAAATTCGTAGTGGAATCGACCGATGATGCCTATTAATTTAACGGAAGCCCCGCTATTCCGTATTAGGATCTCATAATAGGGGACTTCCCTCTATTTAGTAGTGGCAAAATAATAATTTTGTTACATTCATTGACAAGTTTTAATAATAACAATCATGGAAATCTGGGACCTATGTTTTATTATACATATCGATTGTTCCGTTTTAATCATTTCTAACGGTGTTAGACGACCATAAAATATGGAGTCGTTTTTCATCGATGAGATTCGCTCGCAAATCAATCATAGTGGTATATAAGCCAAATTAACTGCCTATTGAAAATCGTCTACTCTCAGTCACTTCCAGAGGTTTTATGTGTGTCAGATGAAACGAGCAATCTCATGAATAAACGTGGATGTGCGAAATGCGCAGAAAACTAGTTACGATTTGCATAACGTTAATCCTATCTGTCACCATAACAGATTCTTCCCTTTCTCATATTCCGCCTCCGTTTGCTTCAATCGCGGATGAAATTGAGTCCTCCGAAATAAATTGAAGAAAGGCCGTTTCTGACGTCAGCTATCGGGTTTCGAAACATGATAAAGATCCACGAACAGCTCACGCCTGCTAGGAGAGACGCCGTGGCCGGCAGAGATGATCTGTCCGTTACCTGTTACGTATCATGCGTTAAGGGAGTTAATTGAAGTCTGTAAACGCTGAACGTAAACGAATGCGAACACCGGAAGATTCGTGTTCACCATTTATTGGTTGTTCATTCGCCCTCCCGCGCGCGTACATTAAGCATCTTTACGAGTGACAGGGTGCCGCTTCCAGCTGCGTTGTCGCCCTTCACTCGGATACGACGCTGTTCCGCTTAATGCGGCTATCAGTTAGCTCGCGCCGACTGTTTATCAGACCGCCACGCCGTGATTGCGCATCGCCAGCTGGCGATGCCAGCTGCAGGCGCGTCCATCACATTATTATTACGTGTCCGATCTGGGAACGTTTTCTCTTTCGACGACAGGAGATGCGTGCCAGATTTCGTGGACCGTCGCGCAGTCGCTACGGCCGTCCTGCTTGCGCAAGCGGCGGCTCCCGCAGCTTGCGCCGAGATCCGGCGGAGATTTCAACCGGATAAAGAACGCGGCGCGCTCGCGATTTTTGTCACCGTGATCTTCCTTCGCGCGCTGCGACAGAATTATCTATGTTTGCCGGCGGACTCTGTCCAAGTCCAGATTAAACCGTCGAGCAAATTATTCTTAAAGCGCTTATACTCCTCAGATTGATCTACGTTTAATTTTTGTTCATAAAAGTATTTAATCAGGGAATATAAAGCCAACGGCACACGATACTACTTTTCCTACCGGATTGCTAGCGAGGGCCACTCTGTCGGTAAATCAAAACCCCCTTAACGCGATCATTGTTTTGTTGTATACGCAACAATCTAAAATCTTTTTAAAAGCATTCAATAATCTTACATGCCAACAAGATCACAGTCTTATTTAAATACTATAATTGCTACTTCAAGACTACAC